GTTAGTAAGGGAAATCATCCCAACATGGCCTTAATCACGAAAGCTAGCGTCAGCTAGCTGGAGTCTTCTTGCTTTAGCAAGTATTGGGGGGGCTGCTCAAGGACATCACGTGATTTTTCACGCGAAAGGGGCCCCCCCCCTCCCCCACCACCACCACCACCATCACCACCATCATCATCATCATCATCATCATCATCATCGTCATCATCATCGTCATCATCATCGTCATCATCATCGTCATCGTCCTCTCCATCGTCCTCGTCCTCGTCCTCGTTCTCGTCATCATCATCATCATCGTCGTCCTCGTCATCGTCCTCGTCATCGTCATCGTCATCGTCATCATCATCGTCATCATCATCATCATCATCATCCTCGTCATCATCATCATCATCATCATCATCATCATTCATCATCATCATTCATCATTCATCATTCATCATTCATCATTCATCATTCATCATTCATCATTCATCATTCATCATTCATCATTCATCATTCATCATTCATCATCATCATCATCATCATCATCATCATCATCGTTATTCAATTACATTTTATCATTATTGGCAATTATTGTCATTATCACGAAAGCTAGCGTCAGCTCGCTAGAGTCTTCTTGCTTTAGCACGTATTCCGGGGCTCCCCAAGGACATCACGTGATTTTTCCCGCGAAAGGGCCCCCCCCTGCCCCCTCCCCCATATATATCATATATATCATTGTTATATATCATATATCAATATATCATTGTTGCATCCTCGTTGGGACGAACAATGCCGCGACACGATGATGACAGTCCCTCCGCAACTCACCTCTTCCCTTCCTTCTTTCTCCTACCCCGCTAGCTTTTGTCATCCACCCCCGGCCTCAAGTTCAGGTTGGTGAAATATTACAATTTACCCAGATATTATATGGTCATTGTTGTTTATACATCCCATGATATTCCCATCCCATTACAATCCCATGACATTCCCATGATTTGCGGGTCTGTAATTGTGTCTCAACCACCCCATTACAATCGATCGCAACGATGATAGGCTCATTGGCCGCTTCGGACGATCGTGGAAGCCCCAAGCGGATTGAGGAGGACGTAAAGGCGCAGATTCTGCGTGGAGAGGATGGGATTCTGATGAGGATTCATTGGATTCAGTTTTGGTGGAGGTTTCCACATGTGTGGAGGTACGCCCAAATGGATGGTTCCTAATGGATTTTTTTAAAAATATCTTCAATCAGCCCAGCACGCAACTCCAATAGCACGATGCGAGTGCCGCATTTCGTTTTCACTTCTGAGGATTGAAACGCTTTCTTTGTTTCCAAACGCCCACGGCGGACAATGAGTTTCGCACAATCTTTTTGTCTGTTTTTTGCTCCAGAGTTAAAACTCCATGCTGGCCCTCGTTTGACGTTTGAAGCTTGCAAACGCCTCCAGACTTCTGATATATTTCAATGCGATTGCGACAGCCTGTAGATTGAACAACCCAAGCCACGGCTACTGAGACACACCAAGACGCGGCGCAGACAACACTGAAACTCTATCAGGAAACCATTGTGAAACAAGATACCGTTCTACAACCATGAAATCCACCGCTGGCTAAGGTAAGCTACTTCAGTAGAGCTTGGTGAGCGTTTGATTGGCACCTCCCCTGTGTTTTTATGAATTCCAGACACATCCAAGAAATCCATGGAAATCCAGTAATATAGCCAGCCCGACTGGGCAAATACCAACAACATCCTACAACCAATAGGCATGGAAAACAATTTTCTCTATATAGGTGCCATACATTGCCATACAATTATGGCCCTATGATAGGGGTTTTGAATGGTTTCGAGACATGCTATGCATTGAGAGCGCAAATCTCGAGTCTCCGTTGAAGCTGAGTGTTTTTTTTTGCATTGGCTAGTTGCGAGCTGCAGACAGATTGATCCACTGGTGGACTGGTCCAAAATCTAGAGGCTCTGAATTCAGAGTGGTATGGGCCATATCTCATCCAACATCGCAGGACAAGTTGAATATCATATATATATATAAGGTCGGGCTCAAAACTGCCCCACGTTTCAGCTTGGACCTTAGCGACGGTCTCCACCTGCCATAGAGCGTCGCGGGCTGCATCTGACTGGATCGAGCTTTTGCGGCCTTTTGGAACTAGTGGTCCCGGACACTCAAAACACCCGGGTTGGCTTTCGTGACTGCCAGTAAGTGTCACGCATTTGGGGTGAGCTCCCTATACTGACTGGCTCCTTTTCATTGGGACATCCTGAGGTAAGGCTTGTTTCATCCCCTTTTGACACAAATTTTATTATTCCTGCTTTTTGCGGACGGGTCCACAACTCACTGCCTTAAGTTGTTAAATTTCAATTTTGACTTCACCTTCCTGGTGGCCTTCTACTTGGACATTGCACCGTATGCCATTGAGTTTACTCTGGCTACTTGTGTGGATCTTCCAATATCAAGGCATCAACCAGGAGATCGCAGAGAAGAGCCAGAGCAAAGGCGAGGCTTGCTTGGTATCTTCACAAGACTGGCAAAGTGAGATTGAACTTGTCAAGTCTGGGGGCAATTCAACGAAGACTCAGTACACACCATTCGAAGGACGCAAGTCTGATCAGCCGCATTTCAAAGGAAATCATGGCGACTTACGAGCCCTGGAGGTGCAAGTACTGCAAAAAGATATCAAAGGCGTCTGCAAATGGTTGCAGCCAGTGCCTGACACCATGGCAGGAGTGCCAGGACACAGAATACGTCCCTCCTACCCGTCAACAGGACTGGAATTGGAAGTACCATCAAGAGTCGGGCCAAAGTCCACGCAGCCCACGCAATGGCAAGGGCAACAGAGGCAAGTCGCAGCAACCGAAATCGCCTCGACATGGACACAAAGGTCGCGGGAAGGGAGGTGGATACAAAGCTGGCAAGGGAGATGGCAGTCACCAGCAGGGAAAGCAAACTGGAAAGGGAAAAGTCCCAAGCCAGAACATGGACAAAGGCAAGGGCAAGGGGGAAACTATGGTGCCTCCGGAGCCTCCATGGACTCCGACATTACATCCAAGCAGTTTACCATTGCCGCCACCGACAACGCCACCGCCACCGCCCTCGGCGGAAGAAACTACATTGAAGGAATTGATCCATGCGCTGAAAAAATCACAGCAAGACATGGACCCCGAGGTGCAAGCCATTCTACAACGATCACACATGAAAGAAGGGCAGAAATCAACTCAATCCCTCTACAGTGCAGTGGACGATTTGAGCACAGCACGCGAGACACTGGACATTGCAAAGCTGGCCAGGCACAATCTCCACATCAAGTGGCGCAATTTCCTGACCGATGCGGTCCAGAGATGGCAGAAGCACACGGAGGACTTTCAGAGAGAAGAATCCGAACTGACACAACAGATCGAGGCCGCCAAGACCTCACTAGCTGCTGCAGTGCGAAGATTCGAGAACTCAAAGTCGGAATTGGGTGTGCAGGTCATCGATGTAGAAGCCCAAGCTGCCATGGAAGAGGCTGCGGCCGATGGTTCAGAAGGAGTGACAGTAGGAACTGCACTATTCGACAGCCTGGTGACCATGCGTTCGCAGTTAGAGACAGTGCAAGCTTCTGCAGAAGCAATGGTAACAGAAGAGGCAAACAGCTCCAACAAACGGCAGCGTGTAGAAGAAGGATTTGTGCAATCAGCGCCATTATCTGGTGGGGGAATGCCATCACCCTCAGCACCAGCCATGCAAGCATTCCCGAAACGGGAGCCCAAGGAGAACCAAGATTCGCATTTTCCACCGCCCGACAAGTCGTGACTGAAGTGTACCCTTGTCTAGGGCATCCATGTGTTCTCAATTGGACCCACAGTGCTTGTGATGAACCTTGGTTTACCACCAAATGGTATGCAATTGAATCGGCATATGAACTAGCATGGAAGCTAGGCACGCCGCCGTCCAACGTTAGTGACCATCAAGAAAGACAGCTTTCTGCATGCGGGAAAAGCAGACATGTGTGTTTTTCTTCAGATGTTGATATCCGGTTCACGCAGGAAACACCTTCAATCAGTGCCACTTTGGTTGTTGCTGAATCCCGATTGCATAATTGGACAGAAAAACCTTGGAGTTTGCATAGTTCAGAACCCAGTGCGTTTTCCGATTGCATTGAGAAAGCAGCCACACAAGTGACCAATTCCAAATCTTTACAGACTCAAGATTTCCATGGTTTGCAGAGAACACCATTGAAGTCTATTGAAAACATTTTGGACTCTGACTCTTTCAAGTACGAACGTTTCAGGCTTGAAGACCAGGAACCGCTGTCCATTGGGGCCGTGTCGATCCGGACTTCACTGCCAGCCGAGAATGAAACAACACAACAACCAAGATTGTGGAAATGTCATCGAAGCGATGAATTCTACAACGTTCCTTCTAGATGGTACGGTCACAATGACAATGATGACCACAATGACCGCAATGAAAACAATGCTCAAGAACAGCCAAATGATGATACAGGGTTTTTCCTTCATGAGGCACCTGATTCTGTACAATTGCTGTTTGATGCTTTTCTCCGTGAAGGCTTGATTATTGGACCCAGGCTTGAAGAAAGTGTTTTTGTGCGTTCATGGCATATTCACCACATCCATGAACCTAGATGCTGGCATCATCGCACGCTTGAACTTCAAGGGCATTGGCGCCATTGGTTCAATGACATCTTAGCTGGATGGAGAGACAAAAATGATCCAAATGAGGATACCATTTTTCAGCATTGTGCATCCGAACCCACCACGAAGTGGAATGACAAGGGATATCATTTTTGACATCATCATTTCACAAGGACTTGAGGCTCCCAGAAACTCCGGACTGATCACAGTTCTCCAAAAAAATGATCGTGCATCAAGGGCCAGATTTTCACTTGCGGCATCGCTCCCATATACCACCAGCGGTGTACAGATTGTCCAAGGAGCTGAGATTGTCCATGAATGCAACAGAGACGTTTGCACAATCAGGCATGCGGGTATCACAATTCCTTTCACAATGGCACCAACCCATGATGTGCAAGATGGAGATTCCTTCACAATCGCTGTATCATCGCCGGCTGCCAGCAGCTCATCGACACAGGATCGCCCATGTCAGGGGGATGGTCAGAATGATGACAAGCCTGCCAACCATCAGGATGATGATCAGAACATGCAAGATCCCTCTGACCCAAATGAACCCCCTTCTAACTCTGATAGTGATGCGACAGAAGCTGCCAGACAAGGGGTTCACATATTTCGCTTAGGCTATCCACAGACTTTTGGACGCCTACGTTGGGACTTTACTGAACATGTCATTATTGATGCAGCACGGACAGTAGGAATCCCTTCCCAGCAATTCTCATGCTTTCACTATTTGATGGTTGCTCCTGATGACCAAACTGAGCAAGAGGAATCCATCATTCTTCAGCATGTAGGGGACATAATGCCTGGCTCAACGGAAAAGCTGGTTGTGATTGACATAGAACTCCATGCATCAGCGTCGGGTCACATGGCTGTTCAAGCACCCAGAATCATGCGACAGGTTTATAAAGTTGTTCCCACATTGCTGAGAAGTCAGTTGCTGCAAATTGCCCGAGTGTCTGCATATTGTGAATGGAGGGATCAAACTTGCCTAGTGCATTGCAATCGAGTTATTTGGCCTATCCATGACAATGGTCCAAAACGAATGTTGCATGGCATGTATTTCCGTATTGTGATCCCACCTCCACCTGAGGCTTCGTGGGAAATTGGACACACGTTACGGGTCTTCCAAGATGTCGCTGACTTGTTTGATTTTCCTGAGGCCGGCCGCATTGCCGCTGAAGTATTGCATAATACATATCATCAAGCAGCCAACGATGTGCAAGATCGACAGAGAGACAACCCTCCACATGTGGAGACCAAGGGAGCAGACCTGGGTTCGTATGACATTGATGTGCCAACAATGTATGCACCATCTGCGTATCGTCGCAGATTGTATCCGCCCCATGATGGAAGCATTGAGTGGCTCATGGATCTAGGTCAAATCTTTGCTGACTCGGCGCAGGCAGAAGCTTTTGATGATGAACTTCTCATGTATGTGCAGACATGGTTCATACATCATGAAAGGTATCCGACCTGTCGCAGGCCCAGGCCGTTGAGACTGGAACGGCAGTCAGTAACATGGATTGATGATTTTAGACAACTGTGGCGTGACCTTTTGGAGCGCAGATTGCCCTTCACAATACATGTTGTCAGACCACGTCCACCACAGGCCAGACGAGACCAATATGCCTGTCATGTTGTGATTGAGCAATTGCCCACGAATGCTCGGGCGGCTGTTGTTCTCACTGCACTTCTGGAAGGAGACCGAAGAGATGCCATCATACAGGGTGCTTTTTCACTCCCAAGCATTGTAAGGAAACAAGATATTATCGATGCCATGGAAATTGAACCATTCTGTGAAGGTAGGTCGTGTACTTTGCACATGGGAACGATTCCGATCAATGCTGTCCAAGCCACAGAAGTGTCATCGGGCCACAGCATCCGAATCAGAATAGCATCGCCGAACGCCCAAATGCCAGTCGCACCCAATGAACCCGACGAACATTTTGAGGACTTGGTAATGCTTCAACTTGACTGCAAGTCATCAATGCCTAGTGAAAAGGGAATACACCTACCTGATGTGGCACGTACCCAGAAGCCGCCAGAATGCCGCCGTTTTGTATTCAGCGCATCAGCACAAGAGTTTAGGCTCCCTGATCGCAATTTACAGACTCAGTCGGCGTTTGTTCAGGAATTGTTTCCTCATGTGTCCTTCAATGCATTTGCTTGGGAAGAAGAAAGCCCAGCCGCAAGAATTGTCACATGGTTCGTTGATCACCGTGCAGCAGCCCCTCATTGCTTTCAAAGCCGCACTGTGGTGATTTACGAACAATTCGAGGAATGGGAAGCACGAGTCAAATGGGCATGGAATGATCAGGTTGACCTCTTGGCACGCATTGAGTTGCATGTTGTTGCGCCACAGCCACCGCAGCTTGAAGACTCAATAGTGGCACATGTGATTGTCGTCCAAGAGCCAAATCCGCACTGGGCCACATCTCTGGTGTCAATCTTTGATGTCCATCCGGCACCAGTCCGTTATGCTATCACAACCCTTGCTCAGATCTATGTGGAACATGTGTTGATGGTGTGCAATTATGATCTGGCATGCCTTTATCCGATGCATCCGCTTCAATGTAGTGCATGGTATGATCGCATTAACTTGCAGCCAAGCATGCCCTTGCCAGGCAGGTCAGGTTACAGTATCGTGTTGCAGATCCGTAGAGTGAACATGCGCATTGAAAAAGCTTGGACAGATTTCCAAGCAGATTCAGCTCGCTCGCCGATCATCATCAACCTGGACAAATGTTTAGCAGAGCAAGACGCAGTGCAACATGTCCCCATAGGTCTCATTGACGGAGCCGAGCATCCATGTCTGCCAGACCATCTTCTTTGTGCAGAACCCACTGAGGCAGCGGAAATCGAAAACATGCTTGCGGCGATGAATTGTCCTAGACACGTTTATTTGCTGGAAGGCACAGGTTTTGCTTTTTGTGTCCCAATCTCCTGGAAAACCCCGGAAGGCCTGACCACGGTGGTTTATTATCCCTGGCAATTTGAAAGCAAATCCGATATCATTCTGCACAGCGCACGTTCAGGGCTCACTGAGCATCACCACATGACTTTCCTACACTCCTTAGGATATTGCAGGGCGGTGGTCATGCAGGAGAGACAGATCAGGCAGGGACTTGTTTTGGTTCAATACCATAATAATCAACCCATGCTTGAACAAAGCGCTGCTGTTCCTCGAGTCAAGACACCATGGCCTGAACCCATGCCGAAGCTCCCTCCTGGCAAAATCTATGCAGAGCCCACAAATGATGTGCAAAATCCGATATATCACATGACACTTGGGCACTCTGCCAAATGTCTCAGTGACTTCTTTGCATCCGGCCAACAGGTTCTTTGCCCATGGCATGATCATTTGGATTTGCCTGAGATAGTCCGGGAGAGCATTCCCAAAGAGACCCCTGTGGTCGACCCAGATGTAGATTGGTCCAGATTTGATCGCTTGATTATCTACACAGATGGAAGTTCCAAAACTGCCAACAGAAGAAAACCGCCCTTGTGGGTTCAAGAACATGATGTGCCAGACGCATGGTCTTACGTTGTCTTAGGAGAGTGCTATGGTGATGATGCAGGCCACTCGGAGATTGTCTTCATTGGGTGGCATGCGCAACAAGTAACTTATGAAGATCACCTGTCGCACTACCTGGGGACAGACCAGATAGGCTCCGAGTATGCAGAACGCGAAGCCCTTTTCTGGGCAGGTGTCTGGAGGCTTTCCATCAACTGCAGGGTGCCTACCATATTCCTGTCAGATTCGGTGACCACTACCGATCAGGCCATGGGAACTGCTGGATGTCAGGACCAACATGTGACATATCAGTATCTCAGAAGTGTGTTCCAAGCGTTACAGGCCACTTTGCCGAAAGAATGTCTTCAAGTGCGTCATGTGAGGGGACACACGGGGGACCCGTGGAACGAAATGGCAGATTACCTTGCAAAGACTGAGTCCATCAAGGGACATCGCCTCAAGAGACAGGACGTTGATCTGAGAGTCTTTCTGCCATTGCTCCCGTATCTATGGATGGTTTTTGACAGTAGATCAGGCCTTCCGAAGTTCACAGGAGCTGGATTCGACATCACTCCACCAAGTCTTCCACCACAACAGGCGGCCCCAATTTGCATTAGCCAGGCAAGGCCTAGGACAGGGACAGACGCCATTGCCATCAGCATTGCGACACTGAATGTTGGCTCCCTTTTCATTGGGCCGGAGGGCTATGGAGGAAAATTGGGATACATCAGAGCGCAAATGCGAAGTCTCCATTTGAACGTCCTGGGATTGCAGGAAGCAAGAAGTCCAGCTGGCCTGACGCAGGTAGATCAAATCCTCCGGCTATCCAGCGGTGCCGCGAAAGGTCAGCACGGAGTCGAGCTATGGATCAACACTCATCAGCCGATTGGCACGACCAGAGGCCATGAGCAGAAAATACAAGCTCGACAGGTGCAAGTGATCCATGCAGACCCCCGCCGTCTAATTGCACGCCTTGCTCATCCGTGCATTGATTGCCTGTTTTTGGTTCTCCATGCGCCACAAAGTGGACGGCCATTACATGAGCGCCGGAACTGGTGGAGTGAGACACAAGGAATTCTTCATCAGTATCGAGGCAAACTGCCGATTTATGTAATGATGGATGCAAATGCAAAAACAGGCCCAAGACACATGCCATACATTCATGGAGGAGATGATGTCACATCGGTGAACACAGAATTCCTCAGAGAATTTCTGCAAACCAATGAGCTGTGCTTGCCTTGTACAACGGACCTCCATGAAGGTACTCAGACAACGTGGACTGCCATAGATGGACAATCGGTACACCGCATCGACTATGTAGCCATTCCCCACAATGAACTGCAAAACTGTACGATGTCAAGAGTTTTACAGGACCTTGATCCGGGTAATGGAACAGAAGATCATTGTGCAGCTGCGATTCAGCTCGCATGGCAGGGAAGACATCACCTGCAGCATGAGCCTCATAGTCATATTCCATCGCATGACCGAAGCGCCATCCCGCACCGCAGGAATCAGATTGTTCTTGAGGAGATCACTGTAGGGACATGGCAAGATGACATAGAAAAGCAGGTTCAAGGTTTCAACCAGCAGATCCTTGATACGTTGCATTACGTATGTCCAAAGCCCAGACAAGGACCGAAGAAGCCGTTCCTATCAGATGAAGTGTGGGCACTCAGATCAGCAAAGTTGCATCTGCGGAAGCGCCTACATGTTGCAAGAAAGCATCACAGCTTAGATTGCCTGCGTCTGATTTTGTGGGCATGGTCATCCACTTGCACTCAGAAAGATGCACAGTACCTGCCACAGCCTGAACAGATACGGCAGCACGAGCGTCATGTAGATACTGTTAGTTGTGCACTGGTTCATCTCACGTGCCGATACTACAGTTTGACCAAAGCATTGAAGCGCACTCTGCAGCGAAGCAGACAAGCCCAGATTGTCCAGGAGGTCCAAAGCATGAATGACAAGACGGCCGCGGGGGAGATTTTACATCGACTTCGGCCTTTCATCGGTCCCTCCAATCCAAAGAAACAGAAGAAAAAAGGGCTCCCGGCCGTCAACAATGCAAATGGCAGCCCGTGTCAAACACCAGAGGAAGCACGTGATCGCTGGATCCAGTTTTTCTGTACAATGGAAGGAAGGGATAGAATGTCACATGCTCAGTACCGCGAACATTGGATTCGAAGTCTTGCTCGCTTCCGCAATGCTGATCCTTTCAGCATTGACGTCTCGGAAGTCCCAAGTCTGGTGGATCTGGAGAATGCCTACCGCAGAGTTGCAGTAGGAAAAGCAATTGGAGAAGATGGAGTTCCCCCCGAACTTTGTCGTTTCAAAGCTGTTGACATGGCCAGGCTCACATACTCTATGATGCTTAAAGTCCTGCTCTTCGGACAAGAAGCGGCAGAGCACAAGGGTGGTAGACTGGCCATCGCCTGGAAACACCGAGGGGATGTCCGGGATTGTTCCACGCACAGGTCGCTCCTTGTATCCAGCCATGTGGGCAAAACCCTGCATAGGGCATTGAGGCAAAAGCACAACTCTCTCTACACCAGGTTCATGCAAGCGCAACAACTTGGAGGCAGACCAAAAATGCCAGTAGGGATTCCACTCCATGTTACAAGAGCTTTCATGAGATGGCAGGCACGTCTAGGCAGACCAACGGCCCTCATTTTTCTCGACCTGACCGAAGCGTTCTATCGGGTTGTACGCCCCCTCGCTCTGGGCGGAGACATCTCCGACGAACAGGTAGCTGAAACTGCCGCAAAGTTAGGCCTACAACATGATGCCTTGCACGAATTCCATGCAAAGCTGGCTGAACCCAGTGCAATTGCGGAAGCAGGTGCCTCTCAGACAGTCCAACGATTCTTGCAGGCCATCCATGCCGAGACGTGGTTTCGTTTAGGTGACCAGCCAGATATCGTGAAAACGTCTATGGGGTCGAGACCGGGGGACTCGTATGCAGACGTAGTGTTCGGCTTTTTGTGGTCTAAGCTTTTACACTCATATGTGGATGTCCTTGCCGAACATGACATTTTGGAAAGGATTCCCATCTGCGATGTCCCAGACTTAGATCCCGACACACATGTCACCCTGGAAACCCAGCAGTTTTTAGGGCCAAACTGGATGGACGACTTGAATGTATGCCTTGCAGCATCTTCCAATGCAGGAATCGAACGCAAAGCTGGGGTTGCACTCAGCATATTGCTCGACAAATGCAAAAGCCTATACATGGCCCCAAACTTGGGCAAAGGGAAAACAGAAACGATGTTCACCTTTAGGGGTGCAGAATCCAGGTCTTACCGGAGGAAGTACTTTGCCCAAGCTTCTTTCATCCCGGTCGTGGGAGAACACGGCACCAGTCAGGTATCAGTTGTCAGCCGATATCTGCATCTTGGAGGCCTTCTTCATCACCGAGACATTGACAAAACGGAAGTCACCCGCCGCTTGGCCATCGCGCATCAAGCATTTACCAGCCACCGCAAGATTCTTTTCCACAACCGCTGCATTGAATGGAGCAAGAGGAAAGACATGTTTGTGACGCTAGTGTTGAGCAAACTAGTGTATGGGCTGGAGTCTTGGACCATGAAGGCCCAGAAAACCAAAGATCAATTTTATGGCGGAGTGATGAAACTTTACAGAAGACTTCTCAAGCTGCCTCATGATTGCCACATCACAGATCTGGACTTATTAGTGAGAGTTGGACTGCCAAAGCCTGATGAGTTGCTGCGACAATGCCGCCTTAGGTATTATGGCACCCTGCACAACTGTGGACAAAGTGCGCAATGGGGGGTCCTGCGAGAAGATCACGAGTGGATGACCTTATTAAAAGATGACATGCAATGGCTATGGAGCCAGATCTGCAACACCTCTCATCTTGGGGATCCACAGATGCACTATCCAGCATGGAAGGACCTCTTACTCCACCATGGTGGGTACTGGAAGAAGCTCATCAAACGAGGCATTCTGCATGCGATTGCGCAGAGAGCCAATTATCTGGTTGCACTGCGTTTGCATTCTGATGTAGGTATGACACTTTTGCAGCAGAAATGGGTTGAAAGCTTGCCTGGCAACGAGGTGATTGCGAGGCCGGCTGAGCATTATGGATGTATGCAATGCCAATCCCGACAAATGTCTCGAAGTGGAGAAAGTGTACACATGTTCAAGTGTCATGGGCATGTGGCCCAGGCCCGACACCTGTTTGCAGAGACGCACTGCCCTGCGTGCCTGAGGGAATACCACACCCGCGCAAAGGTTCTAGCCCACTTGCGCCACTCCACCCATTGCAGACAATGCCTCATCGGCCAAAGAATGCACTGTCAGCCAGCACCGGGCACAGGGTCCAAGACTGACCAAGAGCTAGCAGCCTGTACGGATGGAGCCATTCCGTTCCAGCAGGCGCAAGGACCCAGATCCAACCACAATCGATTGAGAGAGTTTGAGCCTCACTGCATCCGATTGCTGGAAGACCTGTATTTAGCCTTGTTGGACATGCAGGATTCAGAGCAAATGGAGTCTGTTCTCCGAACAGAAATTCACAGACACCCAGTCAGTTGGACAACATGTCGATGCACGTTGGTTCAATTTCTGGAAGATTTCACTCCACAAGATGCAGAAGTGTTGCCATGCACTTACCAGGATGTGCGAGACTGCCTTCAGAAGCTCTGCCAAGTTGATGCTTGGCCTTTTTTGCAGCAGACATGTTGCAGAGCAGGAGAACAGATGTCCACAGACATTAGTAAGTGGGAAACATGGTGTACTGATTTGGCCTTCCAAACGGAAGCACCTTGGAATCGTCTCAAGCCGTTGCCCCGCACGCTGAGCAGGCAGAAAGTGATTTTGCATGCATATGCAGGGCGCAGGCGTCCAGGAGACATAGAATGGTACATTGATGCTGCGGCCAAACATTTTCCCACGTTCATGATTTTTGTGGCATCTGTTGACATTGTTATTGACGCAGTCTATGGGGATATTTCGCGGGAAGAGACAAGAGCATACTGGATGGGCCACATAGCTCAAGGGCACGTGGTCGGCTTTTTTGCCGGGCCACCGTGCAACACATGGAGCCGAGCACGGCATCACAGCCTGGGCTCAAAAGATGGACCATCTGGTGGACCGAGGGTAGTCCGCACCCCAACAGAACCTTGGGGTGTTTCGTCTCTGCGACTGAGGGAGCTGGCGCAGGTAAACATTGGAACTTTGCTTTTGGGGTTTGCCTTCAATTGCATCGTTGCCTTGGCGATGAGATCTGGAACAGGATTCGTGGAGCACCCCAAAGACCCAGACCAGGAAGAGATGGTGAGTATTTGGCGCCTACCTATCCTGCGCATGATCCTGGCCTTACCGAACCTGCGGCTTGTCCATCTGGCCCAGGGTTTGTTTGGCGCAGCCTCAGCGAAGCCCACGACTTTGCTTGTCCTCGGAATGCCTGATCTTGAGATCACGCTGCACAAACAGAGGATCACGGCACATCTTCCCCATGGCGCCTCCGTAGGTCGTGGCCAAGACGGCCAATTCAGAACGGCTCCATTGAAAGAGTATCCGCCGGCGTTCTGTCAAGCGCTGGCGGATGCACTCATCAAAGAAATCACTAGCACGGAGTGCAGTGACATCAATTTGCCCGCTGACATCATCACGCGATGTAAAGAGATGAAAGGACAGCTTTTTGGGCACCACATTGGGCACGATGGATAGACATCGGTGCCTCTTACAGAATTCACAGACCCATGAACCTGCCGCTGCGTGAGACGCATCTGGGTGCAGTTGTGAAAAAAAAATATAATATATATAGTATTTATAACAAGTATAGTAACTGTGGAGATACTCTACATGAAGACAGCACAATTTGGATATCCCACGATATCCCCTGCTGTGAGGCCTAAAGGCAGAGCAGACCATTTGAGAATGAGACGCCATGCGCGCTGACACCGCGGTTCTTTGGTCACTGCTTGAACGTTTCGATTGATGGAAACGATGACAACCAAACTAGGTGGTGTCTCATAATTAGCCAAGTTCGTTTATCACTCAGAGGGAAATGGATGGAAATGGGGTATCATCAGCTATATGAGGTATCCTTCGAGGATCCAATGGTTGGGCACGGCGGCAGAATGCGTTTCCTCCATGACCAAAGGCGTTGCCAAGCGGCAAAGATGTTCTCAACCTGCGGCCAAAGTCTGGGGCTTCGTGAAAGACCCAAGGAAGTGACTCATGTGACTCACTCCCACAAACTTTAAGTACCCCCAATCAACATTTGGATATATGATGATATATGTATACATATATACACATATGTGTATACATACATACATACATATGTATGTACATAGTTGGGTCCCTTCTTGGAGGATCTTGGAGGTACTAACACTACGGGCATGAGATTACAACTGATTGATGCATATGGTGGGTTCAAATACGTTTTATTTGCGCAGTGGCAGATTGAAACCACCAAGAAAATCGCATTCGTGTCGGGATTTCTCAGCAAGGGGTATGATCATGTATGACTATGATAATTATGATATGCTTATTGGATGATGACTATGATAATTATGATATGATATTATCATGTATGACTATGAGTAAAGCTGCAACCACAACACATAATCGTTTCTGGGTCCACTGCTCAAGGGCCTGGTTTTTGTGTGCCAACGGAGATGTGAGGAGACCCATGTCTTCACATCCTGGATCCAGTGGCAACACACGATCACACTGGAACGGTGTTGTCGTCGCAAGAGGACGATGAGATTGTGGCAATGCTGGTGGCCATTTCGTGGTGCAAAGATCCCATAAAACAAGATGATGAACTAACGATATCTCATGAAGCCCATTGAGTTTCCATATGTTTCCATTGAACTTCTAGCCATTCCTCACTTGAAACTCGCAGTGGCGCAGTGGCGTGAAGTGATCAAGCTCGATGCTTTGAGGCAATCGTAGCCTTGTGGATCTTTGTGGGGTGTTCTCCGTGCGGAATCAGTTTGTTCAAAGGGGGCGGTGGTCGGCGATGGTGAAGCTTCAAGGGGGCCAGCAAAGACCCCGAAATCTTTGCGGATGCAAGGTTTGGGCTCTCAAGTTTTCAATATTGGCAATGTTCCAACATGTTCCAACTTAGCTCCTAAGACTTGAAGTGTGTTCTGGCCGAGTATGGACGCATAGGCACGCAAACTTTGACCAACCTTGCCACACGATCTCACGGCACTTCAGGCTCGATGGGACCCGTGGCCTAAAAGATGCAAATTTTGCTTGCGATGGGTGGTTGTTGTGGTATGTTTAAGCTTTTCCTATTTTTCCTATTTTTCATTCAAACATGAGATGATTGGACAATATTGACATGTTAGCTCAACAATGCTCAGCATAGCTCAACATATTCAGCTCAACCATCAACCGGAGAAATTCGCTTCCAACTTCGATCAGCCATCTCCGTCCCACCTTGTCCCGCCATGGAGGTGCGGCCCTGAGACACTCACCCCTGGACATTTCTATGCTCTTTTTGGAGATCAACGATATAATTTGAACAAATCATTGCCATCATTTTGTAAGTCAAACTTGGCCATGATTTTATATCTGGACCTACTGGTTCTTCAGCTTGGACCTGTGGGCAAACCACCTCATCCCCTTTGTGCCAGTGAACGGAGGTACTGCCATTTAGGAGCTTGGCGCCTGTGAACGAGGTCGCGTTTTGGTTCTGGGAAGGTCTTTTCATGGATTGGATGATTGGTAAAGGTACAAACAAAACTCACAAAGCTGTGATTTTCCAGACCTTTGATGTTGAATGGATATTGGAGGTGATCTTTCCACTTCAGGTGATCCTTTCAATTATTGTGTCATAATTCTTGCACACACTGCTGAGTTGATCCTCAGGGGCCTTCACCACCCCCCAAAAAAGCTTGGTATCTGGCGTCGTCCAAAGATAATCTAAGTATATCTGGCTTTGTCCCAGGGTGATCATCATGAAGATCGCCATTTTGGGTATCCACCCATTTTCAATCGTTTTCAAACGAACCCACAATATCTATTTCATTCTATGTTTCTATGTCCAACTGCAAAATTTTGATAAATTTTGCAGTATCCAACCCCTGGCGCCGAGGCTCATACTGAGTTGGTCAGGGTCAAGGTCGATGGGCTCAACTTTTCCTGGGCAAAGTTGGAGTTTGGGATTGTGAAGATGTGATTGAGATGGGCATTTAGCCCACAAAAAAACACAAAAAGGGGATCATCTTGATCATATAATGGAGAATGATGGATCATGGGCATATAAGCCATGAATCTGGCGGGTTGTTTTCACACATGTACATTCTTTTCATCCAACAGAACACTAGAAACGGTATGATGATGCCTCAAATAATACCCTCTGGTAAACTAACATAGCTATGGAAAATCATCATTTTTTATGTGTAAATCAACTATAAATAATCATTTTCAACAGCTAAGTTAGTTTACCAGATGGTATTTCTTGGGGTGGTTCCACCGAGTTGCTGAGGAGGTGAAGCGAGAGGAGCAGTTGAGACTCATGTCCAAGAGAGCCTTCCAAGCTCAGCAGGCCAGTTGTTGAAACACACGAAATCCGCTCCGTGGAGTCCAGAGATCTGCCAATCGCAATTTCTCTGTTGTTCCTCTGCAAACTGGCAATCAACATCCAGTCTTGCACTCCCTGACCATGAAAATCTCGTCTGTCCGCTCCATTGACTAACCATCAAAATCTAGTCGGATCTAGTCGGCTTCTTTCAAATTCCCTTTCTGATTGGTTATAATTCCTTTTTATCATCGTTTCTCCCTATTTCATCCTCAGACGTTATTGGATACGGCATTGACTCCCCAAAAAAAAATCGTGAAAAAACTCGATCAAAGCCAGGCCTCAGCGGCGGAGTTCCGTCGCAGCATGTCCGAAGGCTTACTGAAGCGTGCAGGGCAGCAGGCGACTGAGGCGTGGGGCTGGATTTCCCTGGGAAAATCAGGTAAAAACTTGGGGAGATTCACTGAGAACAGTGGGTTCTTAATGAAATTCAATGAAGCATGTATCCATTGAATCAAATTTGGAGGTAATGACAAGAAACGAAGTTGTGAAGCAGGTATAGCTCCCAGAAGTGGATAAAAAGAACTAATTGCAGGAAAAGTGGGTTTAGCTGGTACTCCCCAAAGCAGAGGGAACCTGTGTTTCTTCCCAACAAGACCAACCCAATGCGTTCGATGGCTACGGGTCAAGTCAAGGTGCCATGGACCAGGAGAAAAAAGAACTGCCTGAGATGCTGTCGCCAGCGTGGTGATACGAGAAGCGAACAAACATTCATTTTAATACATTCTATTAATAGTGTTCTATAGTGTATTATATGAATTATTGATACTAAAATATATTATATAGTGTATTATAGTATACCAAACATTCTATATTATATATAGTGTATTATAGTGTTCTCTTTTAGCATTCAAACCCATGAGTTGAAGGTGTCTGCAGTTGGAGATACCAAAACGAGGACTTTCTGACGTCAACCTTAGGAGTTTCCTTAGGCACCTCTGAGGTAGGAAGAGGCCCACCGTGCCATACTGGGAAGATCCTTTTTTCAAAGATCCATGGTGCCTAACTCCACAAACTCAGGCCGAACTGGGATATCTTGGGCTTATCCCATGTTATACCCCAAGTACTCAACCATTCAACCATCCTCAGCATTTCCCTGTAGAGTAATAAGCCCACTACCAGCAATCTCAGGTGAAGTTCCAAAACCCCAACACCTGGCGCTATGCCAAACCCCAACGTCAGTTGAAACACCAGGTGCGGTGGGAGGACTTGGAGTCTACAGGGGGATGGGCCCCCAAAATTTGGTGTCGATGTGTGTCGAGTGTTTGGACACAAAAAACGTGCAACGGTGAAACGTTGGACTATATTCATCAATAAATATCATCTAGCCATGTTGGGGAACGATCATGAATCATCATAAATCATCATGAATCCATGTTTTCAAATGGATTTCAATCCTTCATATTGTAATTATTACCATATGGCTATGAGGCAAAATAGGGTACCTGTGGTCCCTGGAGTCTTCGTTTTTGACAGTCGATCTGAGGTGCTGCAGGGCGATGGCAGACCCAAGATCTTGTCCCGGGTCTTCCTCAATGGGGACCGGTGTTGGGGGAAGGTGTCCAAAATGGCTGATTGTCGATGGGAAAACCAATGCTTTGGGGGTACCCCTATTGGCCCTATTCTATGAAATAGTGTAAGTATCAAAGTATAGTCATGTCATCATGATTTTGATATATTCTGAAATTTTTATTCATCCAAATCTTGAATAGTGTACAGCTCTGTACAGCTACAAATGCCAGAATACAGATGGTGATTCATCAGTGAGTAGATTTCAAGGGGATTCAAAAAACGTCATGGCTCCAGGAATGGACCTATTGCGCTTGAGAGGCCCCATGTAGCGCTCGAAACTGGGGCACCAAAAGCAGCAACACTTGGAATATTCGGAATCCTTTGGGTCACCGATTTCAATGAACATCAATGAACATCAATGAACATCAATGAACATCAATGAACATGAATGATAACATATGGGGTTGCTATCCCCAATCAGGCTAATCAGGCAGTTGGCATAGTTGGCGCAATTCCCACTTGCTATCTTTGGGAATATTGGTGCCCAAATCTGGACTCAACGGTGGTCTCATTTAAGGCTTTCACCATGCGGCTGTGTGCCATTTGAGTCATGGCAACCTGAAGCTGAAAGTTTCACCACCTGCGGCTCAAAAAGAAACGGCTGAGCTGAAGTGTGGGATGGATTTCAGACCCTGGGTTGTTCAACTGAGTTTCCACTTTGAAGGCAAGGACTAGCCCTTTTGTGAGGCTATTTCGGCTTAAATCCAAATAAATTAGCCAGGGATGGTCTGGGCTTGACTCAGCCGCTAGTTCCTGTTCAGATGTGGGATTTGCCTCAATCCAAGTGACTAGTGCAGGCAGTTACAGGGCCCCAGGATTTTGCATCGCACGTGAGGCTCTTGTAGACAGAACCATAGCAATCAAATCAGTTCGATGTGACTTTCTGACCCTGCAGCTTTTGCACTGCAAAAAGAGATAAATCAGAAACATGACAGCAAGAGCAACCAAGAAAAAATGAAAACAGCTAACTCTGTCAGGAAGAATGAAAGTAGAAACTGCACTTTCAGTTGGCCGTTCCAGCTTCACTTGGCCATCTCAGGATTGTCGGATATCCCTGTGGCTTTGAGTTAAGCTTGTAGACATACCCAACCAAGAAACGATTGTGAACCCAAAGTTTACATCTGATACTATAAGCAAATTAATCAATCACTGAAATGTGCGAACAAGTCACTTAAACAACTCTACGTGTAACAGCACCAGTTGAGAGATTCACTGTTTGCTGGGTGTGTCCCGGTAACGTTGGTTGTCTTCGTCCTGCTGATCCATGAAGGCACCACAAAAAAGACAGTTGCGTTCATGTTTTTGTTTTTGTTTTTTTTTTTCTCAGGTTTGTTGTCCAACATCTTCAAGCATATGATATTGTTTATTATACGTTTTCTTTAAATCCTAAATTAGTTTTACAGGCATACAAGTTTGTACCAAAAAAAACATACTTTTTCCCGGAAAATCCTTATCCTTTGAGCCTCGACTTTGCTCACTGTAGGCACCGAGTACTGCGGAATTGCAGGACATCAAAGAGGAGTGCTGAGCTGATGGGCTGACGGTACTGGTTTATTTTTCCATGAAAAGGGGATGATGGTTATATACCCACTGTATAATGACATATTAATTTTTACATAGTGGTTAGTGAGCTAATCATTGTATAATGACATAGTAAATTTTACTATTTATAAGTGGTCAATACATGTTAATACACCCATGCAAGGAATCCCATTCATGGTGAGATGATCATCCCCCATTCATCTCATGATTATCCCATGACTTTAGCCTTTACGAAGGTTTGGAGGTAGCCCTAAAAAAGGGCACCATCACCTTGGTTTTGTATGGTTTTGTTGGTAGTTTCAGATACCCCCTGGTAATAAAATGAGAAATCTCTGAACTAAATGGGACATAGATGGCAAAAAATCATGGAAAAAAACATCAAGCTGGGGGATTTGCCAGCCCTTCCAGCCCAGGAGCTTGAGAGCTGGGTAATCTATGGTCCCAGGGCAAAGCTTCTCCTGGACCAGTTGAAGACCTTGAAGGCTCGGGTTTTTCGGATCCAAGCTCGGTGGGAATTTTTGACTGGCTTCGAAAATGGCCCAGATTGGGCTGTGGGGGGAATGATCAATTCGGACATATCTTGATATGGGTATGGGTCAATACCTATTAATACCATTTTTAGGGGAATGAACATCCATAAATCCCAGCTATTTTGATGTGAACTACAGGGGTACAAGGTTTTGACACACTGCCATATGATTAAACATAAATTAAAGCAAGTTGCCCAATTGTCGTGACAGGAGTTCACCCAGATGTGAGTTATGGTCGCCCTGGGGCTCCCAAGGTCACATCGAACTTCTCAGAACTGCCCCGCATTGTGGAGAGATACGTTCATCATCCACAGGCCCGCTGTGTGGTGTGGCTGAAGTGATCTTACAAGACACAGCCAGATGACAGCAATTCGAGGTTCTGGGATTCAAAGCGCAACCGCAAGTCATTGCAACCTGCTGATGGTTCCCTCCAACACTGGCACACTCTGGCACACTCTGGCACACACCATGACTGGGTCAACACCGCACTTTGTTTCCAAAAGATTTAGACTAAACAAACTTCCAAATTAGGTAGATGAATGTCCCATTGTAGTCTACTTGTGTTTATTTTCGGTAGAGACTTGAAATAAACCACATCCAGCTACAGGAGCTGAACGTATGGACCATATTATACAAGAAGGACCCTCCAGTTACAAGATTGGGACACGGTTGGTTTAAAACGTCTACATACCCATCTACCCATCTACCCATGGATCCATCCATCCATCCATCCATCCATGCATGCATGCATCCATCCATCCATCCATCCATGCATGCATGCATCCATCCATCCATGCATGCATCCATCCATCCATCCATCCATCCATGCATGCATCCATCCATCCATCCATGCATGCATGCATGCATGCATCCATCCATCCATGCATGCATGCATCCATCCATCCATCCATCCATCGATCTATATCCACTATAATTCCCAGTTAGCCATTTGCAAATCAACCTATAACTTGTAGGGCCCTTCCTGTAAAAGGCTTTGACCCTTTCCAATACAACAGGGGTTTTTGACCCCTTCCACCAGGAGTTGGTGGCTCAGCAGGCCAGAGGAATTCTGGAGGCACGCCAGCCCATCTCCATCATCTCCATGCTGAGACCGTCACGGGCGATGTCAGATGGGAAGTTGGGCCGATTCATCTGGTTTAAAACTGTGCATTTTCGCGCCCCAAGATTGGACACAACATATACCCAAAGTGAATTAAACCTTTACGAAGCCAGTGTTCAAAAAAGAGTCATGTTGATACCATGATTCATGGTAAGGTAATGATGATTTAATCGGGTTTAATGGGGTTTAATGGGGTTTAACGGCTTAACGCATATGATTACCATTTATTACCTATAGGTAAGTAAGGCCAATGAATTTCTTGGAAAATTCTCCACCTTTGGGTTCTGTCCACCAGGAATGGAAAGACGTGCGCAGTGTGAAGAGGTCCTCCCTGGGTTCCCTGGGTCTGGGATCTGACTCATGATTTCACATTTTTTTGGCTGATGTTTGAAGTACCCTCTGGTAAACTAACATAACTATGGAAAGATCCACCATTTTTAATGGGTAATTCCACTATAAATCACCATTTTCAATAGCTATGTTAAATTACCAGAGGGTATTTCTGACATGTTTTTCGACGATTTGTGCATGTTCATCTCTAAGTCAGACAATATTCTGGACAGTTTTAAATGATCTTACGATCAAACGATCTTACAATATCTCTGTTCATATTCTATATGTCATTTCTGGACAAGTTTGATCTTTACGACAGTTTAGACCGCGAGCCAAGTCGTTTGAGCCATATTTGTGGCGGAGTTTCACCGCAATCATCCAGTCGTGAAAAATATATGGCCAGGGCGCTAGAATTTCCTGGTAGTGATGATGACAGCGACGCGCCAAGCACCTTGACTGCATCGATCAGAAAATAGAGATGTTGAGCTTTTGCCTGAAAGAAGACACTGATGATGCTGGTGGTGGTGCTGTTGATGGTGATCCTTATGATTTATTTTGATTGTCATGATTTTTCTTCGTATTTTTAAATGAGTTATTTTTAGTAATTATTGTTAATACTATAAAGACTATATATATAAGATACTATAAGTAATGAGTAGAAAGGCGTTATTTTCGGCAAGATGATTCTGATTGCAAAGTATGGCTTATTTGTGTGACAGTCGCACATGTGCTACATAGCTACTTAGATGGACAACATATTCAAACCCTCCAACAGGCTCTGTGTTGAACCCCCGAACCCTAAATCAATGTTTCAATGCGCCTGTTAGCAAAAGTGACTTTGGGGGTTTGATTATTTCGTCCATTGGAGCTAAAGCACCTCAGTTCACATTAACATTGAACTTTGGGGGTGATGGGGGTTGGACTAGATGAATAGGTTTGAATATTTCGTCCATCTACGGTAGTTCCACTTACTGTTGCTGTCTTAGACAGCAGTTTCGTTTGGGACTTAAGGCCGAGTTCGCAGAAAGGCCCTTTGAATCGTCCACAACTGTACAGCTGGATGACATCGGTGGATGTTGGTCCTTTCAATGTTGATTTATGACTCTGCCATCTCTCAGTGTGGCAAAGTAGGCACCAAACATTTTTTGGGGGGGTGATGGTTCATTTCACTGACAGCGGTGATGTGGATCGAATTTCAAAACCAGAAAGGGTGTTTTTCAGGAGAAAGAGCGCAAGGTTGAGAAAGATGAGGATGAGGACGAATCGATGAGCTGTGAAGATGTCTTTCAGGAATGGCCACAATTTCCTGGCATGTTATACCATTTTCCCATATTTTTCATCATTTTTTCCATATTTTCCCATATTTTTCACGGCAGTTTCGTTCTAAACGGTCCCATTTTTGATAAAAGCCGTGCCAGGAGAGCGTGGAATTTCTGGAGGCACCAGCTGGATGGAGCATGAAGCAGGCGCCAGGATGCCAAACATGATGATCATTGGAGTAGAGGTACCTGAGGTAGCCCATTTTGAAGCTATCCAGACAGATAATCCATTGGAATTTGAGTTGTACCCATTGGCAATTTAGCTGTGAACAATGACGATGTTTGATCCAACTACATGGGCCAAGGCTTCCATGGGCCATCAAGGTTCCATGGCTCGGTTGTCGCCAGGCTTTCGTGCAATTCCGCGGTCGCCGTGAACGTTTCTGGAATTTCACTCTTCCGCGGTGCGCCGACTCGGTTTAGTCGTGCAAAACAACATCTCAGGTTTTTTTTTCTCCAGCAAAGAGGGGATACCCTCAATTTCCCACGTTTTATCATCATGTTTGCTTTTTCAGACACACCTACAGTATGTAAAGGTTGACTTTTGTATATCGCCATGTGCCAGAGAACATTATTGTCACCTCCATTCCCCTAGCAAACAACTCTGTTCATCTCTGTTCATTAAAAGAATGAATGTGCGGGTCAAATGCCTGACCCTAGTGGCTGCTCGAATTTCTGACCTTCAAGAAAGATAGTGTAAAGATATGTAAAGATGTTTAAAGCCAAATATGAACATGCACCCCCCCAAAAAAAAAGATTTCTGACCACACACCCCACAGGAAATCATGACCATATCATGACCATTTCAACGGGTCCCATGCTACGAGCCAGGCCCTTTGGGAACAGCAGCTGGTTTCTCCAAGTGCGTGTGGCGGAAACTTCCCTGTCCGAGAAAAAAACCCAATCCAAGCGATCCAAGGGATCAAAGGAGAAATCGCAGAAATCCAAGAGCTCGAGCAGCTCGGGAACTTTGGAGCTGAGTGAAATTCAAGAGCTCCTCCAGCGTATGGCATTGGATTTGGGTGCCCTGCCGTCCGAAGATGCTCTGGGAGAGGAGAGAGAAATGCTGGAGTTGGGAGCACTGGAATCTGGACATTCACAAGGTTTTGGGTTGTGATCCAGCAGCATTCGAGCAGGTGACTTATGGTGATTTATCTTGTTTGTAATGTTGAAGTATTATGTTATTATATATTATATGATATTTAATCCCTGAGTGGAATGGGACTATGAAAATATCATAATACTTCAATATGTAGAATATCATGCAATACTTATTTCCCATTATATAATATTATATAATATATTATCTACACATAGAAATGCCATGGATATTCTCTGACTCTATCCTTCGTTGCACTCCTCACTACGTAGCCATGAAAGGACCCGACGAATCAGCGCCTGCCCCGTTGAACCCCGTGATTTGACACCTGCCGTCGGGAATCTTTATTGCTGTGCCTGCTTGCAGATAAATACAATATTAAGAATCAATTTAATAGATATATAAACACATATGTATATATATATATATGATATCACACATATATGTACATATATATATTATCATATATGTGTTTAAATCTACTATATCTATGAAATATACATACAGTATCATACGATATATATATATTATCCACATGATGTTTTAGTATGTTTTAATACATAGATACATAATATATATTAATATATCACATAATATATATATATACATATTAATATATCACACACACACATATATATATATATATGTGTATATATATATATATCATCCTATATCTATATATGGTACACCATTTATATCCAATGCCATCCCCAGGAGAAGCTCCGCGCCCTGCAGCGTTTGCAACGCCTGGAGCAACGCTTCACCGGGCCCGGCGTCACGGAGGCGGAGGCCCGGAACGCGCTGCGGCTCTTCGAACGCGAGCTCTCCAAGGACGCCATGGATGGCCATGGACGGCCATGGATGGCCATGGATGGTGGATATAGATAGTATGTATATTATGAATATCATATATCTAATCATAGTATATATAGATATATTAATATATATTAATATAGTGATATAATACGTGTATATCTATATATAATAATATTGTATGTATATATATATACAATTGTATACACATATAATCATCCATAATCATTCGAAACCATGGGAATCATGGTGGAATCATGGTGAAAACCCCTTAGCTGATTGGTGGTTTGGAACATGGCTTTTATTTTTCCATATATTGGGAATAATGATCCCAACTGACTAATATTTTTCATAGGGGTTGAAACCCACCAACCAGTATATATATATACACATATACACTAGATAATGGGGTTATAGACACTATATGGGGAGCCTATAGAGATGATGTATAGAGATGGATCTACCTATTTCCAGAATATTTAAGTAAGAAAAGCATATATCAATTGGATGTATAAAAGTTATATATATATGATTATATGTATATACACATTGATTTATTCATGATGATGAGTGTTTTTGTGTATAGTAGTGTGTATGTAGATAAATGACAATAATGATGATATTGATGATCATAATTGTTGTTATCATTCAGGTATGCCAGAGATCGGGGGTATGGAAAGGGCCATCGAACTTGTCATGCTAGAATGAACAGGTAATTACTGATTACGACTATTTACTAGTATTATTATGGTCTCTAGTGATCATGGTGATGTTTGAAGATAGTTTTTGGCACCTTTTTCATGATGCACAATTCTGAATTTGCCTGAACGAAAATCACCTCGAATCCATTGCTCAAGGGTTTACGGCTACTTTTTCGCATTTTAGCCACCTTAGGTTCAAAGTGGAACCCTCCAAGAATGCGTTTGGAACAGATCAGACCCAGCCAGGCCAATTGGACGGAAGAGAAATTCGCGCAGCTCGCATGCAAAGAGAGTGATCGAAACAGATCTGAGGCCATTACAGATGTTTTGAGATGCCCTCTTGTAATTGTACATAGCTACGGAAGCCATGACCTAGTATAAGTAAGAATGGTGATTTTCATAGCTGTGTTAAATTATCAGAGGGCATGTTTGTTGATCTTGAAGAACAACATATTGTTCGATGGCGAAGCAATGACTGTGTCTGATGAGGAGTTTCATGCGCAACGCTGGCTGGAACTGTGAAGTTTGTCCACTCTCACATCTTCAAATCATTCCAGGCTCAATGTATTTGAGAATTATAATGTCCACGTGGCCAGTGATTGAGTCTTCTTAAGAATTTGTGCACTTTCTTATGAACCAGGAAAGATTGCTACGGCGTGCTACGGTCAACGTTTGGGTCCGATGGAAATCAAATCTGACCCATCTGAGTACCTGGACTCCTCGCCTTGTGTGAACTCCTCTAGTCAGATCTTCGGCAACAAATTGCTCCCCTCTACCCAGCTAAGGAAGTTGAAGAGGCAACTGGCAGGGACGGAGGAATGGTCTGCCGCCGATGTGGTGGTTGAATGCTCTTTGAAATGGGTCCAAGAAGGCCGCTCTCCTCAGATGTGGTGATGTGGTGGGTTGGCGTTGGGAAAAAGTCATCACCAGATGATCATTCCATGGTAGATCATGGTAGTTGGTTGTTACCCATCCAGTGGACAATCATGGCAAGGTATGGAAACCAGCAGATTCAGAGGTCTCATTTATCCATACAGTATATCAATGGTGTTTTTGTTTTGATAGCCATCTCAGATGCCATAGCAGGTAAGGGTTCTTGGTGGTGCAGACAGTTGCCATCCACCCAAGTTTACTGCATTGAGCCACAAGGATTTAGACTCCTACGAAAGACCAGTCCGAAATGTTCGGGTCTCAGGGAATAGGTCTGAAACGATTGATCCATACCATTCCATATCAATTTTTAAACGTATATATAGCAAATTTCTTGCTGGCTAGATCGCAATGTTTGTTGTGATCAAGTCCCTATATTTTTGTTTTTTGCATGTCCATTCTTACTTGAATTCAAGCTCTTCATCTCTGCTTCTCGAGCTTAAATCCTGAAAAAAAATGTATTCCTGGTTAAATCCGAATTTGTTTTGGAATAAATAGTTACATAGCTCATTTATGCTCATTTAATATATTTAATTCTATAGTTTTCATGAAATTCTCATGTCTTTGTTGGTTGAATCCCTTTAAAACATGTTGTCCACCGGTCACCATTTTTGGCAACCTCCATCCGCAGGCAAGCGACGCCAGGCCTGGTTTACCAACGTCTCAGAGCGGATGGCCACGCCTTTGGGCATCGAGTTTGGATATACCTCCAATGGAGGCAGGGCCAATCAGGGCCATGGCGGCACGGGAGATCCAATGGAGGCAGCATGCGATTTATCCAGATCTGAGGGATATATCTCTTTAAGATTCTTGAAAAGTAGATGATCAAGAGCTATAGATTTATATAGATTTATGGGGTATGTCATGGTATGTCATAGCACTTAATGACTTAATGGATGAAATTGGACGCACATTTCTCAGTGGATCTCTGGACATGTTGGAGGTTCTTCAGCCCGACTCCCATCCTAATGGTGTACCTCACCGATTTCCCTCCATTGTCATCGATATTTGGTAGAGTTTCACATGATTCATTTTTGGCAAGCAAGAAAACCTTTCTGAGTTTTAGAGCGAACAAACGTGAAACATCGTGAAACCTTATGTTTTCTGTTGCAGTTGGATCCCATCCACCTTCATTCAGGCTGCTGTTTTGTGGGACCTCTGTCCGCTGCTCTGGGCGCGGGGTTGACCACAGCTTTGGTGTGCCATCTTGCGCCACTATGGCCGCATACCGCAAGATGCCGCCGGAAGGGGATTTCACGGTAGAGATGGTACGACTGAAAAATGGCATTGCTGGTTTGGGATGGTTTGGGAACGTCCCTGTGTTGCATCGTTTTTCAGGTTTCGACTTGGGGAAAGTGAAGAATGTTTTATCCAAACTGCGCATGGAATTGGAATCCCAAATAAGAAAACCGGGAAACACAGACTCTGCGCCTAATTTGCTGCTATTTTTTCATTTTACATAGTCTTAACATGTCTCCACCTACTTTCCCGGGCACCCCAGTGACTTTACATCACCATCTTCAACCCCAACCTTCAGGTCCCAGGTCCCAGATTCTCCGGTTTGTGGTCTTCGAACGAATTTCTTGAGGCATTTGGACCTCAAGAAACACATGGAGAAGACCAAGCGGATTTCGGCGCCGCAGTTCCTCCAGGGCTTTGTAGCGCCCTGGCTTTGCTTGGAGCATGAACTGCAGGTCATAAGTTGTACCATCCTTGATATCAGCTAATGTGGTCAACCCATGTTAAACCAATAAGAAAACAAAATAAGTGCCCTGATTTTACAATTTTTGGGTTCTCATACATAACCAACGGTTTTTTGTTCTTGGGTTTCATATTTTCCAGACATTCCCTTGGAACATTTTACCAATCTCCATGTGAAGTTCCCATCTCGGAACCCCACTGACAGACCGACAGACCGTTTGCACTGAAGGCATGTGGCTTAAAGCTGATTGAATAGAACATTGATGGACAAGAACGGAAACCCTGCAAAAGATTCTGTATCCAACAGTTGAGCCTGTATATCCAGATGATCATGCAATGAAAACTGAATCTGTAATATAGTGCTAAAGATATAGCAAAGAGTAGTGGTTTGATAGCAAAGAGTACCCATTCTCGCGTGAAACAGCTCGCGTCATCCCAAACCGGATTCGGAACTGCTCGCCTGTGTGGCGTGCATGTCGCGCGATGGACCAAAGCGACAGCCTTCGCAGCTGGTTGCAATGCCCGTGGACACCTGGTGCTGAGCTCGGATGTTGGATCTGGATGTTGTGCGACTGCAGTTTTTAAAACTTCCCCAGTTGCAGCACGTGGATGTCTTCGAAACATGCAAGATGATCCATGATGATCCTATATCTTGGTGATTTCTCATGGTTTAGGAAAGCTATGGAGACTGCTTGTGCCAAGGTTTTAATGTGCTGCTGAAGTTTTGCCAAAGGCCTTCGACGCGGCACTTGCTTTGGCACCTCGAAAAAGGGCAAATCTGAAAGAAATCTGACTGAAGGGATTTCCATATATATATATAATTTATATAAGTATATATATTATGTATATGTGAATGTGATAATGCTAGGTATATGCTAGGTATATATAAGTCAAAAGAATTCTCAAATTACATTATGTATATATAATGTGTAATTAACATGGTGTCACACATACCTCTGTGTAGCCATGGCACCATAAATCAAGCACACATTCAACAGCAGAAATGTATTTATCGACACTGCAACAGCGTGCTTGATTTATGGTGCCATCATATATGACAAAATTGTGTGTTGATAAATTTCTGAATTTTCATTCCAATATGACCAGGACACTCCAGCAGCTGGATGGCTGAGGTACCTTCCGCATGTGGAAGATTATCGCAGAGACCAACTTTGCCATTTGGGCGATGAGCCTTGGTTCATAGAGAAAACAACCCAGCCGAATGGGTTGGCTCTGCTGAAACACAAAAAACACAGGTGAATGTTGGTGTTTGTTCTTGTTCATCCCCCCAACCTTTATCAGACGAAGATTCGACCCAATTCAAAGCCTCCAAGAAAATGGCTGGATGCTGTAGCTGTATCATAATTAGATAGTCAATTTGGCAAACACATTGTCTCAAAAAATTGGGCTACTCCCAATACATATACAAATATACATATGCACATATACATATATAATTTACATATGTTTCCCAATTTCCCCTGTGAACACGGACATTTTTTGTGCTGAGGTGGTCTATTTAGACTATGCCGGAGCAGCCCTTTTTAGTCGTGCTCAGCTTGCAGCCACACAGGCCCTGTGCAACCTGGAATCCCCGTGACCTTCACAATGGGATAATGGGTGGTATTTGATTGGGTATATAATGGGTATACAGGGGGGATATACCATTATAACTGGGGATACATGATTATACTGGATTATACTGGGTATAATTGGGGATATTTTTGGTATACCAATAATATTGGGTGAATGAATGGGTTAATCTCCATTTAATTGGGGGATATGATGGTTTAGCTGCTTCTAAATGTTTATGGGGGATACAATGGTATTACTTGGATATAGTGGAGATCTATAACTTACCATGATATCTAGGGTTTCTCTTCAGTAGGGGATTTACCTCCTTTTTTGTGGTTTTTCATGGGGAAAATGAGTTTTTTTTTAACCAGGAGATGGATCCAGGAAACCTGATTTTCAAGTATCAAACCCAGAATTCAATGGAGGTTCATTGGTTTTCCAACCCAACTTTGGCGGACCTTCACAACAAAGACATATTTGTCATGGAATTGGATGGATGTTCATGGACATTTTAGCTTGTTTCTTTCCACGTGGTGAGTTTACTCGAACCAGGATAGTCTGCTGCGTTTTGAGTCGAGTGGTTTTCATCATGTGGTTTCCAATTTTTTCATACAATACCATCCCCCAAACAATTTAGATTTAGATGCCTTTACTGTAACTATAGGAATCCAAAAAATGAATAGATCGCAATAGATCCAATACACCAACGCAGTGTTTTTGAGCTCATTAAGACCATTACCATCTGGTAATCAAACATGGCTTGCTGGAATTTCCTCCATTTAGTGGAATGATGTTCCATGATTTTCCCACTAAACCTCCATTTAGGGATTTTCCCCTTAAAACATCTTAAAATCCTCATTTCCAGCGGAACTTCCCATATTTTTCCATGGATTTTCCATGGATTATTGAAACCTAGGAATTTTCCCATGTCAGGAGCTGCTGCTTCAGAGTTGCCTGGGCAATCCCCACAGCTCCAGTAGCAGCCAGGAAGCCCTGGAGCGAAGTCGGGACTTGGTCCTGTTTCTTGCCGAAAAGATGTGGGAAACAATGCTTACATATATAATATGTATCGATTATAATATATATATATATAGATGGACTATTATATAATATTAATTATATATAGTATGTATATATATAGTGTATATATATGTGAATGAATGTATATAAATATGTTAGTATGTTACGTATATACATAGTTTGTTGTGATGGGATTGGGAAAAAATGTCGGTCTGTCCAAAAATTAGGGATTCGCCTCTATATATAATGAATTGGCTACGTAAAAGGGCGAAATGAGCTTCTAAAGCATCAAATTTGGGCACACCAAAAGATAGAACAGTTGGACACCTGGAAATTATGATGAACACATCATCTATCACATCCTGGAAAAACTGGTCTATCCTATTTCGTCGTGGCCATGTAGGTGTTGGGGATAAAAGATTGTAGTTTGGGATGAGATCGGATCTTATTCTCTATGTATTCACGTAAAAGTTTTGGTGGAAGTTGGATGGAAGGGGCAGGGGCGTGGAGGATGCAAGCTATGTGAAGGAGGATGCCAAAATGTAAGATCTGGTAATTTAACATAGCTATTGAAAATTGCCCTTTATAGTGGATTTTCCCATTAAAAATAGTGATTTTCCATAGCTATGTTAAATTACCAGAGGGTAAGATCTGAGGACTAGCTAGCCCCATGATCATTCTGTACCTGGCTGTGCGGAAAGATGGAAACGGTCCAACCACCGGAAGGGATGTCACCCTTCCGGATGGAGTCCAAGTTCTCGATCAACTTTTCGTCATGAAACCGCAGCCAACCAGTGATTCATGATTTTACCCATACAGGTATGTCCTTTTCCAATCTTTTCCACAGGTACATGATCAGTTTGTTTGTCTATCCAGCCGGCCAAAAAACATGTTTGTCATTTTTTGAATGCAGATCTCCAGAAAAGAAACCGCCATTGTTCCGTGAGGCATCTCTTCAACGGAAGCCGGAAGACTCATAGCGTGATCTTCACCTCTGGAGCTACACAAAGTCTCCAGCTACTGGGGGAACACTTCCCATGGAGATCTGGAGGATGCTTCCTCTATGCCGATGAGAGTCACACCAGTCCCTTGGACGCGTTGGACGGTGGATCCGGGTACCTTGGAATCGGAGTGGTAAAATGATGGCAAGGCGTCAAGTTTTGGACAATTTTTGGGAACCGTTTGAGACAGATACCAGAAATATATGGAGCCTGTGTAAACTGAACACTGAGGTGTCCTGGGGCTTCGGCAATTCGCCCGTGCCTCCAAGTGCGCATTTGGAACGCTTGCGATGAATGATCTACCATTGCTCGCAAAGGATCCTTCAGCCTCTCAGAAGCAGACAGGCTGAATTCTTGTGAAGATCAACTGCTCAAGAGACAGAACTGTTTCAGGTAGATGTTTTTTTTAAATAGTATTCTTTCCTTTTGATGTTTTTCAGGCCCAGTTTTTGATTTGGCGAAGTTGTGGGTACCAGAAAATTGAAGAGTCAATGGTCATTCAATGGTCATTCAATGGTCTACACCTGTTCTCAGGTCGCCCAGTTCATCGAGGGGGACATGGCGACCAAGCCAGCTTCGAAGCTTCTGGCCATCCCGGGGGAATCGAACTTCAGCGGATTGAAAACGGATCTGTCGTGTTTCCTGGCGGATGAAGATGAGTTTTTTTTGTTATCACCTTTATTTAGCCTCTTTGTAAATTAACATAGACCCTGAAAAAAACACATTTATACATATTTATACACATTTATACATTTTTTTAAACTAAAAGCTAATCTTACAACTCCCATCTGGCAGGCACTATGCTAATTTACTGGAGGGTAAGTGATGACATGGTGACATCCTTCAAAGATCCAAATGAAACTCGCTATCACCAGTTGATCACCAGCCACCCCAGGTCTGTCCGAGCTCCGCAAAGAGAAGTGGAGGATCCTCTTGGATGCCGCCAAGTTGGCTTGTTCCCCCGGAGCTCTGGATTTGAAGAGCTGCTGTGCAGATTTCACGGTGGTCTCTTTCTACAAGATCTTTGGGTACCCCACTGGCCTTGGAGCTCTGCTGGTGAGGCACGATGCTGCACCCCTGCTGCAGCCGGCTGAAGCTACGTACTTCGCAGGTGTGTGGCTGAGAAAGTGGGCGTGGAAGTATCAGGCCCTCAGTATTCAGGGTGGTTGACAGTTTTAAGATGCCAAGATGATCAAATCATGATCAAATCACCGCTTAATCCCAGTTTGCAGGGTGGATTCAAATAAGTCTTGCCCAACCGCTAAGCACTCCTCATCCATGGCACACCCGGGCACACCCCAGCAGCTCCTTCAGTATCAGGTGGCACTGTATTGTCAATCTCTGCCAGATCAAGTTTCGTGGTGCCCAAGCCATCCTTGTCAGAGTGGCTGGAGCGAGGCACTCCGCACTTCCAAGGCATTCTCTCTCTACCGGCACAGGTCAGAAGTTTCCAAACAGGGGGGGAATCTCCATCTTTGTAGCTTTCAACATCTTTACATAGTAATAGGTATCTTCAAATTTTCAAAACCCATTCTCAGTCAGTGAGGTTTTCAATCATATAAATATATTATATCTCCATGTCTAGCAGTTTCACCCCCAAACTTCATCAAACTTCACCATCATGCCATCCCCCTTCAGCTTCATTGCTCCCTGTACCCCAGGTTTCCGAGGTATCGCGTTTGGGCAGCCCCTGGGCCCGGTGGCATCACCCGTTGGCCGTGTGCCGAGAAGCCTATCTGCGGACGGCCGAGGCGCGGCACGGCAACGGCCAGCCGCTCAGCCGCGTCGTGGGGGCGCACGAGCACCCAGAGTGGGAGACGATGCAGGGCCCCACGCTGGCGCTGTTGCTGTGCCTTGGGGGCAAAGTGGTTAGCCGATGGGGTTGGGTGGGGTGTTTTATAAAGGGGTCCCATGGAATCCCCAAGTAGAAGAGTAGAAGTATACTGTATAGGGAAGACAGTTTGAAATGACAATTCTCAAATATGAGTAATTAATTTTTATTAGTTTTCTTACATCAAATCCATCAAATCTGATGGGGAGGTCCCTCCTAAGTTTGGCCGTCAAGACACAACAGGGTCCTTGAAGGTACTACGCTGATGGCTCGCCGGTGCCCTATGGCCTTGTTGCCAAGGAGGCGGCAGAACGGCAGGTGATGCTGCGGACTGGATGCCATTGCAATGCTGGAGCATGTCGCTCATTGGTGATTTCAGATGCAGGTGTTCAAATGTTCAATATTTTTTTTTTGGTGTGGGATGATTCTAGAATAAATATAATTACCATATACATCCAAGTACATATAGTATCATGATCTAAAGTCAATACTTTAAGGGATATGTTCCGGAAGCGCTACCCAGGTCAGCGATATCTGGGCCTCACAGATGAAGACATCCGTGGCTTCTACGCCACTGGGAAGGTTTGTGGGGATGATCGAGGTGTGATTGATGGACGGGCCACAGGTGTGGTGCGCCTGTCCTTTGGCCTTTACTCCACCTTCTCAGATGTTGATAGATGGATGGAGGTGTTGATGCACTTTGTTGATCAGCTCCCACAAGAACAGCCCTCCATGGTGGCCTCTGACACCTCAGTGCCTGAAAAGGTGACGGAACTGGCATCTGGCACCGGGACCATCAGTGCGTTGAAGGTGTACCCAGTGAAGGGCTGTGGCGCCCTGGAAGTAAAGCGTTGGCCAATGGATGGTGCTTCATTGTTCTTGGATCGAAGATGGTGTTTGACTTTGGCGAGCAGGAAACGGCCGGTGAGTGCCAAGCAAGCTCCACGACTGACAAATGTGAGACTTTCTCTCAAACAAGAGGAGAGGCGATTTGTCCTGGTGCTTTCAAGCAAGTTCCACCCACAAAAGTTGGAGATGGTCTTGAATGCCGAGGACTCCCAGATTCTGCTTGCCAGCGGTGTTCAGACTTTTGAGGATCAGATCGATGGTGAGAGCTCCAATACAGTGACTTGTTGGATTTGATGGTTATATTTGGTCACCATATTTTGGTTTGGACATGCATGCACAAACCAAGGGCATGCAAAGATCACGATCTGCCAGTGCATGCAACTGCGATTTTGGGCTACTAATGCATACCTTTTCAGTGTTTTTTGTTGCACTCCCAGGGGTTGACTCTTCAGTACCTCTGTTGCACTAAACCAGGTGAGACTGGATGAAGAAGAGATCGATTCTGCAGCCGCTTCTGCCTGGTTTGAGCAGTTGCTGAATATCCAGGGCCCCTTGATTTGCGCCGGTTTTTCTCAATGAGTTCACCATCAGATAATCCACCAATTGGGGGAATCTACTGGGGATGCAGCCCCCAGAACGAACCTGCAGTGGCCAGGTTCCAACAAGAACAGATATTTCTGATATTTCTCTACAATTACATCATGGATTTATTTTTTTCTAATTGGAATCCATGATTGATGCAGTTTACATCCTTTTCTCGTTCAAGTGAAATCCAATTGTTTGCTGCTGAATAACAAGGGCTTATGCATTATCAAGGGGTTGTCAACCACCAACCACAAATATAATATATAATAATATATATATATATGTAATACTAATTATATCTATATCTAGTTACGGCTTATGAACTGAGCAATGTTTCAAACCCTTTGTCAGCCGTTTGCTCCTGCTTGGTCGATCAGGATGCCCCTAGTGGATTTTGTGACAATCTCCAGGATACAAAGGGTACTAATCTTCCTCTAACCATCATTTATCAGTTCATTAAAATTATTCAAATATGCCCATAGTTTTGATGGCTTTTAACCTGATCAGTCATGAAATAAATCATCAACCATCATTTATCAACTAGATCACCATATTTGAGATGATTAACCATGATTAACCCCCTCATAAATCACCATTGAACCCCCGAACTCATCATCAATCACCAGGCCTCCAACTGCTCCGCGCCGCTCCTTCCCGCAGCGTTCCCGGCACCGGAGAAGCACCGGAGACGTCGCCGGCGAAGACGGACTTCGCCAATGCGCCCAAGACGCTGTTGATGGCGCCGCGACGGAAGCGGAAGGAATGGGCAACCACCAACAATCACATATTTGGTGTATAATTGGTATACAACCGCTATACAATGGTACTGTATTTTTTTCGGCCAGGCCCTGCGTGTTGCCGGGAAAGTTCACATGGCGTTTAAGCATTATCCTTCAACATGCTCAAACACCTGCGCGGGGTCAGTGTTTTGAGATTTCCCAGACGACAAGCCCTAAACCCTAAATCCTAAACCCAAAAAAACAAAAACCCTAAAACCTAAAACCCTAAAACCTTAAACCCTAAACCCTAAAACCTAAACCCTGAAGACTTTGAATCCTAAACCAGAAAACTCTGTGTATATGCAGTATTTTCTGCAATCTCTCCTATCTGATTCAACAACACGACATCCTTAATGTTAATGTCTGGGCAACACGGGGCGTCTGTGGGTAATGTTAGTAATAGATGTGTAACAATACTTGGAGGATCATCCCACTTAGCAACTGGTCAGCGGGGTTGCAATCCACTTGGAAGTGGGATACAATCGTTATGTTGGAGATATCATGGGGATATGTACCAACCATTATTTTTTTATATTTTTTTGGGTGCTCTGAAAATGGGGTATACTCCCCAGATCAGCAACTTTTATAGGACACTCATGATTAAGCATGAAATTTTGGGGTACCCTATAGACAAACCCATGATATTCACAAACGATACATAATCAACCAACAATACCGGATGGAGCAATGGATTAATTATTGATCTAAACCAACCAACAATATCGAACAAATCTTTATAAAGAATAATTAATGTGGATATAGCAATATTGTATTTATGAATAGATATTGTACGAGGATGATATTTATCTGTGGTGGATCAATTTGGTCGGTTCCCCCCAAACTGTGATCATTGATGGCTAAATTGAAATTCCACCAATCAAACCAACCAGGGGAGTTATCAAATGTTTGGTTATATATTATTCTCTATACAATGACACATCTATCTACAATGATCAGTATCTAAGAATCAAAATAAAACCAAATAATCAAATATAATAATTGTCATCTAATGACATTTAATAATGCCACTGGGCTTACACCCAGTCGAGGATCTGGCTGGCTTAGGTCTCGACCGCTTCTCTAAAACGCTTCGGGGAGGTTTGTGGCTTGGGCACTGTGCCGGTGGAACGCTTTCGCGCCAATTTGGAGGTTGGATTTCGGGGAAAGAGCTGAGGTTTTGATGGTTTCTGGGCATTGACGAATGGAAATTACGGTAATATCAAATGGGGAACACCTGAGCTGATTCTATTTGTGTTTGGTGCAATGAAGAGACTTGATGCATCAGTTTTAGTTGAGACTATAGTCGTTTCAAGATTACAGCAGATGAACGCTGGTGAAACATCCCCCTTAGACCTCTACTATACATAAAAAAGGACGGGACTGATCGGAAATCCATGGTGATCCTCTATTTTTCTCCAGGAACTGTTCATAAACACGCACAAACATGATTTTAAGTCATGACAATTCATTAACATCTCATATCATCTAAATATGGGATTGTCCAAAAATAGGGTCCCCCCAAGTACAGTGGTCACCCTGAGGTGAACTTCCCGGAAGATCAAGCCTATGAAGAGATGGCCTGGCCATCCGGCTTGGCGGTGCAGGTGGGATTTTTTTCCCGAGTTTGAAACTGAACATGTGCCATAAATCAATGGGTTTTGAAAACAATGATGCTAGCTGAAATTCAATAGACAATCAATTATAGGAGATTGATGGATATTGTAGAATCGTATAAAAAGGTCCTGGTATTCTGCGAAGAGATGTTCTCCTCCGTCAGGTGGGCGGTGCAGATACCTTTGAAGTGGCCGGGAAATGCGTTCGCTGCCAAGCCATTGACATCGACCCGGACGGCGACGCGGACGCGACAGCGGAAAGTTCCGGGCCTTCACTGCTGGCAGCGCTGGCGACAGCGGAAGGAGTGGGGGGATCGACATCCAAAGGACCCACCTTTGGGGTTCTGTTGAGGAAACGCCCGGAGCAAACGGAGCAACCGGAGCTGCGGATCTTGGAGGTGAACATGGCACTGCAAGCGATTGGGAGCTCCAACGTTGGTGAAAGATGGTGAACGTGAAAGCTTGATCCAAGACGTTGCGAGGGATGTACAAATTGTATCAAGTTGCAACAGTCAAATTGCAACACTTTTGCAAATAAACACATACTGCCTTTGATGAGGGTCCCCTGTTGGAGCAGAGATTTTCAGATCAGCATTCAAAAAGTTCGCAGCCCCCGATGGTTTCATGGTACCACAGTGCATAACGAGTATAACGAGAACAGCAGTGATATCAGGTCCAAAGGGACCAACCTGTATGGTCACCGATCAATGTCAGTAGCAAACAATCCATTCATCCCATTCATCCCCTCAAATCCATATTCTGACTGAGTGCATCGCAAAATGTGGTCCCAATGATGATTCCCAACCGGGATTTTTCCATATTTTTCCATCGAATCATATCGAATCATTCCCCCAAAAAAGGTTGGCTTCAGTTGGCCGAGGATGGAGCCTTGGCCAAGGAAAGGCATTTGGTTTGGGAGAAGCTCTTCGAGATCGAGGCCGCGCGAGCGCAAGCTCGCGTCGTGAATGGACCAAGCAACTTGCGAAGATGAAGATGTAAACATAGAATTTTATAGATGTTTGTGTTTCTTTTCCTGGAAATTATGACTAAGTGGATCAAGATGATACATGATCATCATGATGATGTATACTTTTTCAAAACAATATGCTGATTTGCAACAAAGTTTGATGATGATGGGTGACTCTTGGCCCAGAAGCTTGGGCTGAACTGCTTGGAAAATGCCAGCAGTGCCAGCAGAAAATGGCGCTTCAGCATATGCGGAAGCTACTCGTACTACACAAAATTAAACAATGACATACCTCATGTCTGAGAAAAACCCAAAGTGTTAAAGCCCAATTGTTTCAGAGTTACAACGTTTCCAACCTGGAGAAATGGTTGAACTTCACATTTTGTCGTCGGTTTGGCATCGTTTGGCCCTTTCTCAGCTCGGCAGAATGGCGAAGATGCCAAGCGATTCTGTGAGGAGATTGGGGGCTTCCAGTTTCTTGAATCGCAGCACTGCAGCTGTTGACCTGCAAAGCACTGCATGTGGTATGTGTCCCAAAAATTCATATTGGTCCTCACAACTCGGAAACGGCTATAAGTCCCAATCGACGCCTTTTTGTCCCCCACTGGTGGAGAGGATCATCCCCAAAAAACTACAGCGAGGAACATCTGCGTCAGGGCTTCTTTGACGATGGCGATGCAGTGGATTCTGAGGAGGGGAGCTGGCAGTCAATTTTTATGCGCAAAGATACATTGGGAATCACCCCCAAAATGGTTTCTTTCCAGAGAATTATGGCAATTGCTCAGATAGTGTAATGAGATCAGGGTGGTTGTGATGAAATGATTGAAGCGGTTGCATTTGCAAAGGTCAGGCGGAAGAAGCGTATGGCAACTTTGATAGACCCGATGCAGCCTGTGGATGGACAGACCATCCTGCATCATTGAAGATTCCAAAGCAAAGTGGCCCCCCAAAGGACTTTTAATGACTTTTTGCTGCCCAAAATGCAAGCCATAAGCAATCATTCAAGGTATCGTTCCATTTTGATATACATCCCTGTGCTGGAAATCTACTCCAAGCATTGCGATCCCAACAGCCTGACATCCTTCAACTACCTTTTTTGCTGGGGACCAAAATGTGACTCTGTTGCTTACCCTAGCTGCCTTAGCTTCCCCTGAACTATGTGGAAGTTGGACAGCATGGGCGGTCCATGGCGGTCCTCGAACTGAAGGAGCTGAGATCTATGCTGGAGAGCATGTTCACAGCCGCTGGTGCCGTGCCAGGCTGGGCTGTGCCGTGCTGTTTAAAAATATGCAGATGATTACCAATGACATCCAATGACTCATCTGCGGAAGTTGGTGGATTTCGAAGCTGAAATCCGAGGCTATTTAATGCTATAGTGCAGTATACTATTTGAATGATTTGAATTGGATGACTCTTTTCCATCTTTTCCTCGGCACAGGTTTTTGGTAGGTTTCTTGGTCTCAGGCCCTAGTGGCCCTAGCGGCCCTGGCGTTGGCCACGTCCGGGCCGGCCAGGCGGGGCTTTGTTTTGTTGGGGTCACATTGCTGAATTTCTAGGCAACTTTCCCGAAAAGCAACCCGTTTTGTTTGGAGGGTTATTGATTGTCTATCCACGTTTATCCATGTTTATCCCCCATGTGTTTTCAGTGTTTCCTTTCTTCAACCTTCATGAAAGCATGAGCCAAGCACTGCTACAATGTGCTGACTGATTTGATTGGAAGGTTGGGTCCAGCGAGCCCGCGCAACCCTTTGCGTGCGGATTCCAAGATATTCCAAGTGATTTGGTCGCCGCCACTTTGGGTATCGAAATTTGGGGTGTGTTTGAACGATGACATTCTTCTGATGTGCGCATGGTTCTTGTCTTTGAGTGATTCCGCAAGCAACCACTTCAACGCAACAGATGTTGTTGTTTCATGTTGTTTCTATTTTCATCCGGGTGCCCGCCCAATACCTGCCCAAGCATGCGAGAATTGCCGTAAAGTCCAATCTGACAAAGTGCAATGGGGCCTGGCTTGGTGATTGAAAAGGCACCCTTATCTGCCTTGCAGATATGTCTGATATTCCAGTAGCAATGTCATGCAAGCAGTCTATTGCGAGTGGGGATAGGGTTCTTCAGCATGCCTTTGCTGCATTTTGCTGCCCAATTTCAGGCCTTTCTCTGGAAAGGCGCATCGTTTAGATGAAGAGGACATCAATCCGTGTACGCAAAAAGCAACTTGAATCAACCGGACCTTGGAGCTTAGGATTTAAGAAATCTATGAAAATCCATCTAATCTATGTAGGTGTGTCCAAGACACTGGGGATGTCCCCAACAATTGGTCCTCTTCCAGATGGTTTTTCCGTGGAACAACAGGTGTTGCCTATATGGCTATGGGTGAGAACATGTGAGAACTCGGGGTACCAGAAAGTAGAAGAACCTCCACGCTGCAGAGTCAACTATCTTAAAATGTGTTCAGATGTTTCAAACCATGCTCATGTTGGTTTGCATCCAAGTGCTGACCTTTTCTGGGAGCTTCCCAGCTTCCAACTGCTCAAACCAGGAACCCAGGGAGGAGAAGAAGTCATGGGCAGGGCAGCTCAGTTGTTCTCCGGCATGGGTGCCGTTGAGTTCATTTGACGATCGGAAACTCATCCAGACCCCCAAAATTGGATCCTTGCTTAGGGATTTTTTGAAGCATTCCCTTTAAAGAGTTTGTGATGTTTCTGCACAGCCTAAATATTTTGGGGCAGATGAGTCTAAATTGGTAGGGCACTTGGACGTTTCCCCCCTCAGACCCGAAGGGCAAAGGTAGACAGGACCGTCCGGGCGAGCATTTGGCTGGTGGTTAACAACGGTAAATGCATCCAGAATCTATACCTGAAAAAAGAAACTGTGAGGAACCACAACATTTTGTAACATCGCCATTTAAATGGGCAAAATGCTCAAAATCAGGATTCGACTTGACCGAAGATAAATGCAGGATGTAAAAAGTCGAGAGTTGTACAGTTTTTCCGGGGGGATGGTGAAAAACCACCCGAAGTTGTTGGAACCCAAAAACTTCACCAGCTATGGTGTTCTAGGCCCATTGAGTTCCATGAGTTACCTATTAAAATAATTTAAAATACATTTAAAACCATAATAAAACTGATGATTTTCCATAGCAAAGTGTACCACATTATCATAAATTATCTGTTGCAATGTATTTTCGTATTTTCTTTCCACAGCATTTCTAGTTCTGGTCCTCAATTCTGTTCGGTTGAAGTTACCAGAGGTGCCCTGACGAACAGTCCAGGCCCTGACCTTTGCCTCGAACCTGGAAGTGGCTCGTCTGAGTCGAACGAGGAGATGATTGGGACCAGTGGGATTTCATTGCCATAGGGATACCCTCTGGTTATGTCAAAATAGCTATTGAAAATTACCATAGAAATAGTGGATTTTCCCATTAAAAATGGTGATTTTCAATAGCTATGTTAAATTACCAGAGGGATACCATGGCTGGAAACATCTGGAACTACAGATTTCTTCGGATCTTTTTGATATTGGAGGATCCCTTTTTGGGGAACTTCAGGTATGGCTGAGAAAAAAGCAAACTCACAGATGTGGTCATTTTCACAGGGGAAAACCATTTTGTGTGGGCAAACAACGAACCATCGAGGATGCTTCATACACTGACTGCACAAGTGTTGGGTGCTTCACAGTTTGAGGAGCCGAGAGGAAGCCAAGAGGAGCCGGTATCTTCCAAGCCATTCGTGGGTCTGAAAATGGGCGATAGCCATCGATAGCCCCTATTTACAGTATAATATGATATAATATGTAGATAGCCATTTCATAAGAAAATGGGATGACAATGGTGATTAGCCAATGGCATGGGGGTAGCCTACTTTCAGGCAAACCCATACGATCCAAAGAATGGAATGGAAGAATGTTTGCTCAGAAGATGTTTCATGTCTTTCTTTCAACCAGGTGCTGCTGGGCTTGTTTTTTCAGCGGCGCTGTTTGTCCAAACATCGTCATTGTTTTTATTGGGCATGCCTTATATTTCTGGTTGGTGGTTTCAAACATTTTTTATTTTCCATAATATATGGGATAATCCTTCCCATTGACTAATATTTTTCAGAGGGATTGAAACCACCAACCAGATTTTGGTGCTTAATTTCGAACAAGCCCCAAACATCCCCAATGGACGACATCTCCCAGGACCTTTCACTGGACCTTCAGCGGCCAGGCGGTAAAGGAAACCAAGACGGATACCACCAGCTACACCAAAGGCGTCACCTGTGGTCCCAGATTTTACCAGTGGTCCCACCTTTTTTTTTAAGCAATGGCTACACCAATGCTACCAGTGCAATGGAGAATAATTACTGTCAACATTTGTCAACCATTGTCAACCCCAGAATTGTTGCATCCCTGGGTTGTTTCATTGATTTGAATTGTGGGTTGCCATTTGAGTAGCAGAGTATCACTATTTCGTCAGGCCGAAATGCCGGAGAGAAGAGGAAGCACCAGATCGAGAGTGCTCTGACAGCAGCTGTCTGGTTTTTAAGTGGAGGCTGGTGACATCATGTGACATCCAAAAGTGCAAAAGTTGGGACCGTTGAACTCTGACCATTTCTTGGAGGCTCTAAGATTCCAATCTCTTCTGCAGATGCCATCCTG